TGTTTTTCTAATCTCTCTTTCTGAAAGTTCACTATTGGTGTATAGAAATGCCTCAGATTTCTTGGGGTTAATTTTGTATCCTGCTACATTGCCAAATTCATGTATTAAGTCTAGTAGCTTTTTGATGGAGTCTCTAGGGTTTTGTATGTATAATATCATGTCGTCTGCAAATAAGGACAGTTTTACTTCCTCTTTTCCAATTTGGATGCCTTTTATTTCTTCTTCTTGCCTAATTGCAATGGCTAATACTTCCAGTACTATGTTGAACAGGAGTGGTGAGAGTGGGCATCCCTGTCTTGTTCCTGTTCTTAGGGGAAATGGTGTTAGTTTTTGTCCATTGAGTATGATGTTGGCTGTGGGCCTGTCATATATGGCTTTTATTATGTTGAGGTATGATCCTTCTATTCCCACCTTTCTGAGAGTTTTTATCAAAAATGGGTGTTGGATTTTGTCGAATGCTTTTTCTGCATCAATTGATATGACCATGTGGTTTTTTTCTTTCAATTTGTTTATGTGATGTATCACATTTATTGATTTGTGGATATTGTACCATCCTTGCATCCCTGGAATAAATCCTACTTGGTCATAGTGTATGATCTTTCTGATGTACTGCTGGATCCGGTTTGCTAAGATTTTGTTGAGGATTTTGGCATCTATGTTCATGAGGGATATTGGCCTGTAATTCTCTTTCATTGTGTTGTCTTTACCTGGTTTTGGTATTAGGGTGATGCTGGCTTCATAGAATGAGCTTGGAAGTGTTCCTTCCTCTTGAATTTTTTGGAATATTCTGAGGAGGATAGGTTTTAGTTCTTCCTTGAATGTTTGGTAAAACTCCCCTGTGAAGCTGTCTGGTCCTGAGCTTTTGTTTGCTGGAAGCTTTTTGATTACTGCTTCAATTTCTTCCATAGTTATTGGCCTATTGAGATTTTTAGATTCTTCCTGATTGAGTGCTTGAATGTTGTATTTTTCTAGGAATTCTTCCATTTCCTGCAGGTTGTCTAGTTTGTTGGAGTAGAGCTGTCCATAGTATTTTTTAACCATCATTTGTATTTCTGTGGGGTCTGTTGTTATTTCGCCTCTATCGTTTCTGATTTTGTTTATTTGGGTCCTCTCTCTTTGCTTCTTGGTGAGCCTGGCTAGAGGTTTGTCAATCTTGTTTATCCTTTCAAAGAACCAGCTCTTGGTTTCATTGATTTTCTGTATTGTGTTTTTTGTGGTCTCTATGTCATTTATTTCTGCTCTAATCTTTATTATCTCCTTCCTTCTGCTCACTCTGGGATTTTCTTGTTGCTCTCTTTCTAATTCTTTGAGTTGTAGAGTTAGAAGATTTACTACCATTTTTTCTTGTTTTTTGAGATAGGCTTGTAGAGCTATAAACTTCCCTCTCAGGACTGCTTTCATTGTGTCCCATAGGTTTTGGATTGTTGTGTTTTCATTGTCATTAGTTTCCAGGATGTTTTAAATTTCTTCTTTGATCTCATTGGTAACCCAATCAATATTTAATAACATGCTATTCAGCTTCCAAGTGTTTGAGTATTTTGGGTTGTTTTTATTGTAGTTTATTTCTAATATTATGCCATCGTGGTCTGAGAAGATGCTTTTTATGATTTCAATCTTCTTGAAATTGTGGAGACTTTGCTTGTGACCCAATATGTGGTCTATTTTTGAATACGTCCCATGAGCACTTGAGTAGAATGTATATTCTGCGGCTTTGGGGTGAAGTGTTCTGAAGATGTCTATTAAGTCCATCTGATCTAGTGAGTCATTTAGGATTGCTGTTTCTTTGCTGATTGTTTGTCTAGAGGACTTATCCAGTGATGTCAGTGGTGTATTAAAGTCCCCTACTATGATTGTATTGTTGTCGATCTCTCCTTTGATATCTTCCAGGAGTATTTGGGTGCTCCTGCATTGGGTGCATATATGTTTACCAGGGTTATATCTACTTGTTGTATTGATCCCTTTAGTATTATGAAGTGGCCTTCCTTATCTCTTGTTATGGCCTTCACTTTGAGGTCTATTTTGTCCGATATAAGTATTGCTATCCCAGCTTTCTTTTCCTTTCCATTTGCCTGAAAGATATTTTTCCATCCCTTCACTTTCAGTCTGTGTGAGTCCCTTCTAATGAGGTGGGTCTCTTGTAGACAGCAGATGTATGGGTCATGTTTTTTTATCCATTCAGCCACTCGATGTCTTTTGGTTGGAGCATTTAGTCCGTTTACGTTTAAAGTTATTATTGAAAGGTACTTGCCGTAACCGGTTTGGCTCAGTAGATAGAGTGTCAGCCTGCAGACTGAAAGGTCCCAGGTTCGATTCCGGTCAAGGGCGTGTACCTTGGTTGCGGGCACATCCCCAGTAGGAAGTGTGCAGGAGGCAGCTGATCGATGTTTCTCTCTCATAGATGTTTCTAACTCTCTATCTCTCTCCCTTCCTCTCTGTAAAAAATCAATAAAATATATATATATAAAAAAAGAAAGGTACTTGTTTGTAGCCATTTCTTTTTTTGTGTGGCTGTTTTCTTTCTGAGCTTTTTATTTCTTTTTACACCAGTCCCTTTAGCATTTCTTGCATTGCTGGCTTGGTGGTGATAAACTTCCTTAGCCTTTTTTTGTCTATGAAGCTTCTTATTTCCCCTTCAATTTTGAATGATAGCATTGCTGCATAGAGTATTCTTGGATTCAGTCCTTTGCTTTGCATCACTTTGTAGATTTCCGTCCATTCTTTTCTGGCCTGATGTGTTTCTGTTGAGAAATCATTTGATAATCTAATGGGAGATCCCTTGTATGTTACTTTCCGTCTCTCTCTTGCAGCCTGTAAGATTCTCTCTTTATCCTGAACATTTGCCATGGTAATTATGATGTGTCTTGGTGTGGGTCTTTTCGGGTTCACCTTGTTTGGGACTCTGTGCTTGTGTGACTTTTTTCTTCCCCACCTCAGGGAAGTTTTCTGATATTATTTCTTCAAGTAGGTTTTCTAACCCTTGTTCCTCTTTCTGTTGTTCTGGCACCCCTATTATTCGTATGTTGTTTCGTTTCATGTTGTCCCAAAACTCCCTTAGGCTCTCCTCCTGTCTTTTAATTTTTTTCTCCAATTGCAGTACAGTTTGGGTGTGTTTTGCTTTCTTGTCTTCTAATTCACTAATTCGGTCCTCCGCCTCTCCTAGTCTACTGTTGATGCTTTCAATGGTGTTTTTTATTGCAGCTATATCGCTCTTCATTTCTTCTTGGGTCTTGCATAAGTTATTGATTTTTTCATCTGTTTCTTTTTGCTTCTTGCATATGTTGTTGATTTTTTCCTCCATCCGGTTTATGCACGCTAGGACCCTTATTCTGAATTCTTTTTCTGTCATGTTGCATGCCTCTGTCTCACTTAGCTGCTTTTCTGGCGAGTCCTCCTTTTCTTTCCTTTGGGGGTTTCTTTGCCTACCCATGTTTGATCTCACTGACATATCTAGATGTTGAGTCGTTCAGTGGCTACTCCCTGGGTGGCAGTGGCTCCTTAGGCTGTGGTTGCTCCTTGGGTGGTTGCGGTAGCAGCTGCTCCTCACTTGGCAGCAGCTTCTCTGGTGGGTGCTGTTCACAGCTCTGTTGGCTCTTCTGGCTGGTGGGGGGAGACTTCAAGTACAGCTGCTGTTCCTCAGACAGAGGGTGTGGTGATCAGGAGGCTGCTGTTGCTTGGATCTGCTCCGTTGATTTAAAGGCACAAAATACAACACAACAAGGCACCTAAATAATTTTCTATTTCTTTCCCAGAACCCCAAAGATCTTTTTGTTCTTGATAACTGTCTTCAGTATTGCAGTCTATAGTGTTTGAACAACTTCCCACCTTTTCTTTTTTCTTTCTTTTTTTTAAAAAATATATTTTATTGATTTTTCACAGAGAGGAAGGGAGAGAGATAGAGAGTTAGAAACATCGATGAGAGAGAAACATCGATCAGCTGCCACCTGCACATCACCCACTGGGGATGTGCCCGCAACCCAGGTACATGCCCTTGACCAGAATTGAACCTTGGACCTTTCAGTCCGCAGGCCGACGCTCTATCCCCGGGGTGGGCAAACTTTTTGACTCGAGGGCCACATGGGTTCTTAAACTGGACCGGAGGGCCGGAACAAAAGCATGGATGGAGTGTTTGTGTGAACTAATATAAATTCAAAGTAAACATCATTACATAAAAGGGTACGGTCTTTTTTTTTTTTTTTTAGTTTTATTCATTTCAAACGGGCCGGATCCGGCCCGCGGGCCGTAGTTTGCCCACGGCTGCTCTATCCACTGAGCCAAACTGGTTCCGGCACTTTTTTCTTTCTTAAATACTTTTTTAATTGATTTCAGAGAGGAAGAGAGAGCGAACAATAGAAACATCAATGATGAGAGAGAATTATTATTTATTTTTAATAGTTCTTTATTGTTGAAATTATTACATATGTCCCCCAGAGAGATAATTATTGATCCGCTGACTCCTGCACCCCGCACACTGGGGATTGAGCTCACAACCCGGGCATGTTCCCTGACCAGGAATTGAACTGTGACGCCCTGGTTCATAGGTTGATGCACAGCCGCTGAACCATGTGGGCCAGGCACCCACTTTTTCTTTTTAGCAGCCATTACAATGCATTCACAATGTACCAGTAATGCCATTATTTTAGCACTCTGTATCATGCAGAACAAAAACATGTTCTTCAAGATGCTCCAAAACCACAAGATCATTGAATATATCCTGTACCATCATCTCTATCTCCTCAGAGAAGAAACTGGGAAGTGGGAGTTTTCTTATAATACTGCCACAGTTTGCTAGGGTGTTTTGAAGTTTTGGTGCAAAATAAGCAACTTTTTAACCCTCTTTGATGTGACTTTTCCTTATTCTGCCTGTCTTGGTCTTGCTTTGAACATTTAACTTAATTTTGGAGTACTCAGACATGTAATTTGGTGAGTAATTGTTGGTAAATTCAGTGTGTATTCATTCCCCTGAATGTCCTAACTGTGAAACTGTATTTCATATCTTTCAGCTATCTTATCCGAAGACAACCAGGCCTTTTTGCAAAAGCCAAAAATAGGAGATTTATTCCCTAAAATAATACTGGTAAGATATGGAAGGTATGGCTTTGATAATGTACATTTAGTGAAAGCCTTGGAATTTGAGGAGGAGTGTAACATGAGAAAAAATTATTTTAACATGGACAGAAGTAACCTGATACAGTTATTCATAATAAAATCATTGTCAATTAATGAGGTCAAAGGTATTACACATTTGGCAATACTTCCAATTTAAATTAGTTATATTTGTAAATTAATGTGCTTCTAAATGTGAAGACCGAATATAATGTTTTTAATATTATACATTCTTTGAATGAAAATACTGAAAATCTATGAATTTAATAAACTATGCTGTAAGTATACGAATTATTACAGTGTAGTATCGGATTAAATTTTCAATCATTTCTAGAATATAGTGATTTATACACATAGAAAATTTAAATTCAATTAATTTGTTGACTTTTGTATTAAGGTGTCATTATACTTCCATTGAGAAATGTTTTTCATACAAATGTCTATAATTTATATAAATTTAGGAATCTTTTTTTAAATATGTCTTTATCGATTTAAGAGAGGAAGGGAGAAGAGAGAGAGAAATCATTGACCGCCTGGTTGGATGTTGCACACTCCCCACTGGGGATCAGAACCACAGCTCAGGCATGTACGCTGACCAGGAGTCAAACTGTGACCTCCTGGTTCATGGTTTGTTGCTCACCACCTGAGTCACAGCAGCATGGAAGGAGTGTTGTTGTTTTTTTTATACATCATGTTTTAATAGTTATCACAGAATAGTTATTTGAAAGAGTACATGTTTAATGAAATTATAGCTGTCACTAAAGCCCTTTCCATCTTCAATGATTACCAGAATATATGCAATGAAGTCAGAAGTTATCAATGCAAGGAACATTGGAAAAATTTTAAACAAGGGTCAAATTCTAATATAAACCAGAAAATTCAGCTTCCAGAGAACCATTATAATGGTGGAAAAGTCTTTGAACAAATGTCAAATCAAAGTATGCTTCAGTTTATTCATACTGTGGCAAAAACAAACAAAGGAATAAAATGTGAGAAACCTTGGAAACAATCTTCAAATCATACTGAACGAGATAATATTCATACCAGAGAGAAAGCTTACAAATTTAATCCATGTACGAGACTCTTCAGTCAAATACTCAATCTAAATAAACTTAAGAAAATCCGTTCTGGAGAAAAACATTATAAATGTAAAGAATGTGGCAAAACATTTAATTTCCTTTCAAATATTCGTGAACATGAGAGAATTCATACTGGAGAGAAGCCTTATAAATGTAGAGAATGTGGCAAAGCCTTCAGCCGGTCCTCAGCCTTTATTTATCATAAGAGAATTCATACCGGAGAGAAGCCTTATAAATGTAGAGAATGTGGCAAAGCCTTCAGGAGCTCCACAACCCTTTCTGGCCATCAGATAACTCATACTGCAGAGAAACCATATAAATGTGGAGAGTGTGGCAAAGCCTTCAAGAGGTCCTCTAAGTGTCGTCGTCATCAGAGTGTTCATACCAGAGAGAAGCCTTATAAATGTCGAGAATGTGGCAAAGCCTTCACTGAATCCTCAATCCTCATTCAACATCAGAGAGTTCATACTGGAGAGAGGCCTTATAAATGTAAAGAATGTGGCAAATCCTTCAGTGCGGCATCAAGCTTTGCTTATCATCAGAGAGTGCACACTGGAGAGAAGCCCTATCAATGTGGAGAATGTGGCAAAGCCTTCAGTGCAACATCAAGCTTTGCTTATCATCAGAGAGTTCATACTGGAGAGAAGCCCTATAAATGTGGAGAATGTGGCAAAGCCTTCAGTGCGGCATCAACACTTACTTTTCATCAGAGAGTTCATACTGGAGAGAAGCCTTATAAATGTAGAGAGTGTGGCAAAGCCTTTACCAGCTCCTCATCTCTTACTTATCATCAGAGAGTTCATACTGGAGAGAAGCCTTATAAATGTAGAGAATGTGGCAAAGCCTTCAGGAGGCCCTCAAGGTGTAGTCTTCATCAGAGTAGTCACACTGGAGAGAACCCTTATCAATGTAGTGAATGTGGCAAATCTTTCAGTACCTCCTCAAACCTTAATCGACATCAGAAACTTCATACTGGAGAGAAGCCTTATAAATGTAGAGAATGTGGCAAAGCCTTCATTGTGGCAACAGACCTTACTTATCATCAGAGAGTTCATACTGGAGAGATGCCCTATAGATGTAGAGAATGTGGCAAAGCCTTCAACAGGTCCTCAACCCTTACTGAACATCAGAGAGTTCATACTGGAGAGAAGCCTTATGAATGTAGACAGTGTGGCAAAGCCTTTAGTAAGTTCTCAAATCTTAGTAAGCATCAGAGAGTTCACACTGGAGAGAAGCCTTATAAATGTAGAGAATGTGGCAAAGCCTTCAGTGGGGCAACAAATCTTACTTATCACCAGAGAGTTCATACTGGAGAGAAACCCTATAAATGTAGAGAATGTGGCAAAGCTTATAGTAGGTCCTCAGCTCTTACTTATCATCAGAGAGTTCATAATATAGAGAAGCCTTTTGAAATGTAGAGAATGTGGCAAAGCCTTTAACCAGTGTTCTTGCCCTATTGTACAGCAAAGTGTATATACTTGAGACAAGCCTTACAGTTACAAGGATTGCCATTAGTACTTTACCAGCAATGAGAACTTAGCGCCATATAAGTCATACTGGGATGAAGCCTTATGAATTTGAAAAATGTGGACAAGCCTTTAAAGATATTCGTGATTTACTGTACATGAGAGACTTTATAGTGGAGAGAAACCTTACAGATGTAAGGAGTGTGACAAATCCTTTCCTTGTCAGTGTGATCTTGTTGAACATCAGATAATTCATTGTGAAGAGAAGCCTTACAAATGTGAAGAATTAGGCACATTTTTAAATGACCATTGGTGTCTTTCTCAACACGATACAATTCGTAAGGAGAGAAGACCTATAAGTATAATGAGTTTGCAAGCCTTTAATCAGGACTGGTGTCTCACTCAACAAAAAGTAATGGAGTGAAACGTTACCAAAACAGAATGTGGCAAAGCTTTTAACCTGTACTCAAACTTACTAGTAATTGGGAGGAATCATTCTAAATAGAAACAGTAAAAATATAAAGAATTTGCCCAAAGACTGAACCAATGTTCCAATTTCATTGAGCATGACCAAATTATGTTTTATAAATTGTAACAAAGGTACCAAAGTATATATTCTCATTTATATGTTATTCAACATCTGATAATTATTGCTGGTGTGAAGCCCAGCAAATATAAAGAATGTGGCGCTTTAAGGGGTTTGGCTCAGTGGATACAGTGTTGCCCTACAGACTGAAGGGTCTTGGGTTCGGTTCTGGTCAAGGGTATGTACCCTGCTTGTGGGACATCCCCAGTGGGGAATGTGCAGGAGGCAGCTCATCGATGTTTCTTTCTCATTGATGTTTCTAACTTTCTATCCCTCTCCCTTCCTCTCTGTAAAAGAATCAATAAAATATATTTTTAAAACAAAAGAATGTGGCAAAGTTTCACTTGGTACGTGAACCATATTTGAGATCAGAACTCATACTCGAGAGAAACAATTAAAATGTAAACAGTGTCCAGAAGACTTTATTCCACATTCATAATTTATTCCTCACATTGAAATTTCTAGCAGAGGGAAACCCTAAAGCCAAAGAATTGGGAAATCCTATAGTTGGACCTGCAGTCTCAGTCAATATCAGGGATTGCAATTTGGACTTAATTCTTCCTTCATGATATAGGAGGAAAGACTTTTGTTTAAAAAATATGCTTCTCAAGAGCCTAAAATATTTTCCAAGTGTGTATTTGAAATTGAATTTTAAAGTATCACAGAATTCACACTAGATGAATAGTCAATACTTTTCAGGTATTACTCTAAACCAGAATACTTCTAAACAATAATCTAATGTTTAAATGAACATAAGTAATTTTTTTAAAATAAGTCTTTATTGTTCAGATTATTACAGTTGTTCCTCTTTTTTCCCCCCATAGCTCCCCTCCACCCAGTACCCACTCCACCCTCTGCCCTTACCCCCCTCCACTGTCCTCATCCTTAGGTGTATTATTTTTGTCCAATCTCTTCCCACACCCCCCACACCCCTTCCCCCCCCCCTCCCCCGGAGAATAGTCAGTCCACTCCCTTTCTATGCCCCTGATTCTATTATATTCACCAGTTTACTCTGTTCTTCAGATTTTTTATTCACTTGATTTTTAGATTCACTTGTTGATAGATATGTAATTGTTGTTCATAATTTATATCTTTACCTTTTTCTTCTTCTTCCTCTTCTTAGAGAATACCTTTCAGCATTTCATATATTCCTGGTTTGGTGGTGATGAACTCCTTTAGCTTTTTCTTATCTGTGAAGCTCTTTATCTGACCTTCAATTCTGAATGATAGCTTTGCTGGGTAAAGTCATCTTGGTTGTAGGTTCTTGGTATTCATCACTTTGAATATTTCTTGCCACTCCCTTCTGGCCTGCATAGTTTCTATTGAGAAATCAGCTGAAATCAGGGGGTAGATTTGGTCATATGGGTACTCCCTTGTAGATAACTGTGTTTCTCTTGCTGCTTTTAAGATTCTCTCTTTGTCTTTTGCCCTTGGCATTTTAATTATGATGTGTCTTTAATTATGGTGTGGTCCTCTTTGGATTCCTTTTGTTTGGGGTTCTCTGTGCTTCCTGCACTTGTAAGTCTATTTCTTTCACCAGGTAAGGGAAGTTTTCTGTCATTATTTCTTCAAATAGGTTTTCAATATCTTGCTCTCTCTTTCTTCTGGCACCCCTATAATTCTGATGTTGGTACGCTTGAAGTTGTCCCAGAGGCTCCTTACACTATCTTCATATTTTTGGATTCTTTTTCTTTTTGCTTTTCCGGTTGGGTATTTTTTGCTTCTTCGTATTTCAAATCTTTGACTTGATTCTTGGGATTCTCTTGTCTGCTGTTGCATCTCTGTATATTATTCTTTATTTCAGTCAGTGTATGCTTAATTTCTAGTTGGTCCTTTTTCATATCCTCGAGGGTCTTACTAAATTTATGGGCGAGTTCTAGAAAATTCTTGAAAAACCTTATAATCGTGGTTTTGAACAACATATTCAGTAGTTTGCTTTCCTCCATTTCTGTTACTTGTGATCTGTTTCTTTATCTCCACATTTTTTATGCTTCCCTGTGTTGATAGAGTGGCTTTTTGTGCTAAGTGTCCTATAGGGTCCAGTGGTTCAGCCTCCCCAATTACCTGAGGAGGACACTCTTGGTGCACCCCTTTGTGGACTTTGTGTCTTGTAGTTTAGCCTTGATTGTTGTTGGTATCACTGGGAGGAATTGACCTCCAGGCCAATTGGCTGTGAGAATCAGCTGTGTCTGCAGTGGAAGAACTTCTCTGCTGAAGACACCCTTATGGGGCAAGACTTGCTTCAATGGGGCTTTGGTGCTCACTGATTCTGCCCCTTGAGTGTGTCCCTTATGGATCTGAGGAGTTGTAATCTGGATGGTCCCAATCTGACCACTGGGTACACCGGCTCTTGGATCTCTTAGGAGTTGCTAATTTAGCCTCTGCCTGAGGCTACCCAGCAGGAGCCATGGAGAGATTTGCAGATTCCTCTTCTTTGTTTGGGATTTGGATGTGCCCAGATGAGGCCCAGCTGTGAAGCAATGCAAGCTGCTGTGGGGCCTTGTGCCTTCTTTTGGATGTTCTGGGTCTCTCTGACCCAGCTGCCGTTTGTTAGGTAATTTTAGATCTCAAAGGGCCAGCCCATTCATATGCAAAAGCCTCTGCTTTCAGCTTGGGTGGGGCAGGGTCTCAGGGAATCAGTTGGGTGGAGCAAACAGCTATGGCTGGTCCTCAGCCCTGCTCCGAGAAGCCCCAGGTCTCAGTGTCCCGCGGTAATCGTTGCAAGCACCTCTGAGAGAAAGCCGCCATCGAGTTCTGCCCGCTGCCATATGAGTCTGGGTCCCCAGGGACTCGCTGGGAACTGGAGTTCAGAGCCGTGGGGAGCTTGAGACTCCCTCCCGATTGAAAAAGACACTGGCGTCCTCCGTTGCCAGCCCTTTTGCCCGCGCCTCCGTACCTCTGCACTTTACTTCCGCACCTCCTTAGCCTCAGTGTGGTTTTCTCTTTCCTTCTAGTTGTAGAATTTCCACTCAGCCAGCCTTCCTGGATGATGTCCATTTTGTCTTTTAGTTGTATTTTTGAAGTGGTTGTGTGAGGCAGCAATTTCCGGTGTTTACCTATGCCACCATCTTGGTTTCTCCCCCAAACATAAGTAATTTTTAGTATTCATAAATATATTAAAAGAAGCAGTGTTTCCATAAGTATACTTACAGTGTTGTCTATTTTTTATTGACATTATTTGCAACATATTGAAAAGGAAATATTAATGTGATTCTGCTCACATATCACTGATGCTACCATGTTTTATTCCTGGTGTATGTATGAAATCATGCAGTTGTTACTGCCATAAAGACCTGTGAGTTATTGTATATTACATGGGTTTCACTGACGTATACTTTTCCATGGCATATTGCATGTATTGTAAGGCACACTGCTTGAAGACCATCTAAATGGAGATTGTGGTTGACTTAGAATTTTGTTTTATGTGATCACGAAGGGCATTATAAATTTCGACTAAATTTGCTAATTACTCTTTCAGGAAAATATGGTGGCAGTTCATTAAAATCCTGATGTTTCTTTTTTTTTTAATATTTTATTGATTTTTTACAGAGAAGAAGGGAGAGGGATAGAGAGCCAGAAACATTAATGAGAGAGATCGATCAGCTGCCTCCTGCACGCCCCCCACTGGGGATGTGCCCGCAACCAAGGTACATGCCCTTGACCGGAATTGAACCCGGGACCCTTCAGTCCGCAGGCCGATGCTCTATCCACTTAGCCAAACCGGTTCGGCTCCTGATGTTTCTTCATAGTAACCATAGGTAGAAGTGATGCACATTGGTTGATGTGGTGAAATAAAGAAGATATGAGGCATATCTGAGGAGGTATATAGACCACTCATCCCTACCTGCATAAAATTATTGTATGTCCATGTTTTCTAAATGGTTAGCCTCCATTCAAAAGACCAAATGAAGCACAGTTATTACATTATTATATCAGAATGCCACGACCTTCCCGGCGAATTCAGGATGGCTTGTAGGAGGGTCGACAACACAATAAATACACTATACAAAAAATATGAATTTATCCACAACCATCATCCGGTGGAAATGTGCTTCAACAGGGCAACACACGCATTCTTTTTATAGGCCTGACCCAGAAGAGGCACATAACATTTTCACTGACATCCCATTTGCCAGAACTTTGTCATACCTGGCTGTAATGGAAGCCGGGAAATGTAGTCTTTGCCTAGGACTGTGGTGGGCAAACTGCGGCTCGCGAGCCACATGCGGCTCTTTGGCCCCTTGAGTGTGGCTCTTCCTAAGCCTTAGGAGTACCCTAATTAAGTTAATAACAATGTACCTACCTATATAGTTTAAGTTTAAAAAATTTGGCTCTCAAAAGAAATTTCATGTACTGGTCCCCAGCTTGGCCCTGCCCTGGGGGAGCACCCGGTCTGGTCTGTCTGGGTCAGGAGGGCGGGTGGCCAGGCCCAGGCAAAAAAAAAAAGAAATTTCAATCGTTGTACTATTGATATTTGGCTTTGTTGACTAATGAGTTTGCCGACCACTGGCCTAGGAGGTAATGTGTCCAGCCAAAAATCAGGTGTTCCGTTATTAAAGGAAGGAAGGGGAAATGAAAATCTGTCTCTGAATCAGATTCCTTCATAAAAATACTGATTTCTTGTTTTATTTGATAAAATTACTACTTGCTCCTTGACTTAAGACAGTTATTGGCCTTCAATATAAAGAAGGAAATTATGATACTTGCTGCCCATGTAATTATAAACACCTCTGTAAAGTCTGTAATTTAAAGTCTGCTCTGTAATAAAATTGACAGTTTGTATCCCATTATTCAACTCTAAAAAAAAATAACATGAATTTAGAAGACATTTGGAGGGCCAGGTGGAATCGCTTTCATGAAGAAGAACACAGAGACTGGGTCCTGCCTGCTTTTAATTCACTTTGAATACACATTTGCCCTTTAGCAATGCATACAGGCAGATCAAAGGTAAAATCAGGTATACAGTGTAAAGATTATCAGGTCAGGAAACTGCCTGGACCCATTGCAATCACAGCTGGGCAAACTTGTGCTGATATTCAGCCCTGCTGAAGTCCATTGGCCTTCCAATGTCTCTTTTGCACTTTTATGTTAAGTGCTGTTTGCTTTAGCCTCCAGCTTCAGAAGATTAGTAATATATCTTAAGTGTTTGTAATGTGCATTTTGACAAATGGTTGCACTTATGGTGTTGGTTTTCATATGTTAGAGTATGGGTGAACTTACTATTTTCTTTAAAAAAAATTTTATA